AAACAATGGGGTTCATTCCCTAGAGATCCCTTGAGGGTGGGTCTCAGCTAGCAGCTGAGGGACGCACCCCCCCACCTGTGACCCTGCCCTCCCCTGGTGCCCACCACCTGTAAACACCGCTGAGGAGAGAAGGTTTGGGCGTCAGAGCATGGGACCCCTCTTTCTCCCGGCCTGTGCTCCCTACAGCCCCATCTGCTTTTGGTTCAGAAGGTTTTGAAAATGGGGTTCTTCTGTCAAGGAACCCCGAGTTCCCGAGGCTTGCTCCTCTCCTCTGGAGTCCTCTGGTGTATCCCCTCCACACAGCCTCAGCAGGATGGAGAGGAAGGCTCAAGGCTTGTAGCCCGGTCCGCAGCTCCCCCTGCAGGCCAAGGTGGGAGCAGCTGCCTGTGAGGCCATGACCTTGGCCTCCTGGACACCGGTTTACTCAGGACACCGTCTCTTCCTCTTTGTCAGGGAGACCCCCTTCACTTCCATTTCTTGATGCTACCAGAATAGTAAAAAAAGAATAGTCCAAGAAGCAGGGCTACTGAGTTGTGGTATGTTTTAAATGTTTACTTCCAGCAGAGTAGCGCTTTTCACACCCACGCAACTTAGCGTGACTGTGCTATTCACAAGATAACAGCAACTTCAAAACAAAACGAAACACGCCATGGGGCACCAAAGGCTGGGGTGGGTTGTCAGATGAACATGGCATTTTGACCCTGGCTGTGTTTTCCTGGGTTTGTATGTCAGTGTCCTTTGGGAGAAGGTCAGGAGTTTAACTCTGAAAAGGCCTTGGGTGATGGTAGCACCTGAGGCCTTCCCAGTGCTGGGCTGGCCATGGGGTCTCCACACCTGGCTCTTTGGGGCTGGGGTTCGTCCAGGTCCCTTTCCCAGGCTGGCTCACAGACACCGTCACATCCTACCTGAAAGAGCAGAAGCCCTTTGTGCCCGTGGGAAGAGACAAGTGTGGATAAGATCCTGTGTGGGTTAGTTAGTTGCAGCCTGTGTGCTGCCCCCTGCTGGTCGTCACAGAAATGGGTGACCTTGGTCTGGAAGAGCAGATCTCAAAGCATGGTCCAAGGATCTCCCAGGTTCCCTAACAGCTTTCAAGGTGTGCATGAGGGGAAAGTTATTTTCATTGTAAGAAGACTCTTGGTCTCATTCTTTCACAAATGTACAAAAAGTGAAGAGTTCATTAATGTGGTTTCAGATGCCACATTGAAACTCTTCTTAAAGAAACTACCATCAGGGGGCCACATGGTGGTGTAGTGGTAACACATCAGGACCCACATGGGAAGGTCCTGGGTTCAAGTCCTAGGGGCCCCTGTATACAATGGGCTAGCATGTATGTATGCCCCCATCTGGCGAGGCTGAGGGCGGAGAAGCCTGCTGGGGTGCCTTTCTCTAACACTCTGTCTCATGAAGAATTAAATGAATGAATGAACGTTTATAAAAAGAATGACCATCTATTGAGTTTTGGTGCAATAGTAAGGAAAACTATCTTCAATGATCTAGAAAGGCTATTTAAATACTCCTCCCTTTTCCCACTACCGTACACATCTGTATATTGCAGGGGCGGGGGGCCAGGGAGGGGTGTCCTTCATAGACTGTAATGGAACGGCACATCACAGAAGATTGAATGAAAAATCAGAAGGGATCATCCAGCTGTCTTTTGTTAAGGCAGACGTTAAATAAATTTGTACAAATGTAAAACAATGCTATTTGTCTCGCTAGCTGCTTTTGAGGGTTTTTTTTTTTTTTTTTTTTGGTTTGTTTTTTATTGCCAGGGTATGTACACTTGCCAGAGAGAGAGGGGAAGGAAAAGGCACACACACACACACCCCGCCGGGTTTGGTCATGCCACAATCCCTTCTCCTCTTCTCCATCCTGTGTGTATTTGGGCATGCAAGTACACGTATTTGGTGTGCTTTTCAAGCTCCTGGGGCCAGGATTTGAACCACAGTCAGCCATGTGAGATCCAGCTCTCTTAACCATGAGGCCACTGGGAAGGTTCTATTTTTGCTTTGAAAATACATATTTTTGGGAACCAGCAGTTAGCGTAATGGCTATGTCGCTGGACTCCCACGTAGTCGACCGTGGTTCGTGTCCCGGACCCGGTGGCTTAAAACTCACGCCAGGCACGTGTGCGTGCGTGCCCAAGATCCCGAGAGGAGAATGGAGGAGAAGGGATTGTGGCGTGACCATCCCCCCTGGGGGGTGATTTCTCGCTTTCTGTCTCTATGTCTCTCTCTGTCTGTCTGGCGAGCGCACGCGCCCTACAGTGAAAATCTCTCCAAAAAAAAAATACATATTTTTCATAAATTATGTGAACATCTAATGATCTTTTTTAATATAATTTTTATAAGAATTTTTAATTTTTAATAAAAATGTTTTATCAGTTTTAATTTTCAAATACTGTAAATATACTTTGGAGTCCTTAAGAATTTTTGAGAGGACCAGAAGGTGGCATGGTGGTCAAGCCACTGGACTCCCAAACTGCCAACTGCAGTTTGAGTCCTGGACCTGGCGGCTTGCTTTCTTACATTCTCTCTCTCTAGTGTGTGCACATGCCCTAGAGCAAATTTGAAATAATAATAATAATACAACTAAATAAATCTTTACAACAGTTTATTTTACAATAGCTTAATTTACATATCATCACATTTAAATAAAAAAAAATAGTTTCTGCTGTGGGTGTGCTCACCGGAGAGAGACAGGAAGAGAGGGAAAGTGAGAAATCACCCCCCAGAGGGAATGGCCATGCCACCATCCTTTCTCCTCCACTCTTCTCTTGGGATTTAGGGCAGGCACACATGCACGCACACTCACATGCCCAGAGTATTTTTCCAAGCTGCCAGGTCCAGGACTTGAACCATGCACTCGGCCATGTGGGATCCAGCCACCTTAGCCACCAAGTCACCTGTGACCCAAAGTTATACTTTTAAAAACTACAATGAAGTGGTTTTAGTATATTCACATGATTGTGTAATCATTGCCACTGTTTAACTCCGAAACATTCTCATCACCCCCCAAAAAGACCCTGAACCGCATTCCTCCTCCTCTCCCAGTCTCTGACGACCACTAAATCTACTCTCTGTTTTAGACCTGCTTATTCTGGACATTTCATATAAATGAAATGATACAATATGTGGTCTTTGAATAGCTTTTTTCATTTAGCATAACATTTTCAAGATTCCTCTGGTTTATAGCAGATGCCAACACCTTGTTCCTTTTTATGGCCCAGTAATACTCTGCTCTGTGGGATATGCAAATTTTATCCACTTGTCAGTTAATGGATAATTCGGTTGTTTCTACTTTTGACTGTTTTAAATAATACCGCTATGAACGATGCACGCAAGTCTTTGTGTGAACATATGTTTTCAGTACTCGTAAGCTTATTTATCTCTTCCATGAACAAATGAGACAGAGAAGAAAGACAGAAAAACAGCACTCCCAGCATGGGTTTGATGCTGGGATCCACACCCAGCTTCAGCCAGCCCTGGGTCACGGCACATGCATGCCTGTGGAGTTTCTGGGTCATAAGGTTACTCTCTATCATGTCTGAGGAAGTGTCAGATTTCCAACCTCTCTCTATATATTTTTAGAGAATTTTTGCTGTAGGGCATGTGGGCTCGCCAGAGAGATGGAGAGACAGAAAACAAGAAATCATCTCCTAGGGGGATGACCGTGTTGCAATCCCTTCTTCATTCCCCTCTCAAGATTTTGGGCTCACATGCACATGTGCCCCGCGTGAATTTCAAGCCACCGGGTCCGGGACTCAAACCACAGCTTGCCATGTAGGAGTCCAGCAATGTAACTATTTTACTATCTGCTAGTCCCCAACCTTGATATTTAAAAAAATTATTTATTAATTTACATTCATGCACTGCACATCAATACAGTATACAGAATGAGATTTTCTGAGACTACGTCCTATATTGGCTCAGTCAAGGATATTACCATACATGTCATCATCGACGACAACCTCCGTATTTTTTAAGAGGGCAAAGAGGTCACTGGCCTCGGTGGGGTTAGACCAGGCGAGTGTGGCTGACGCAGTATAGCCCCTCGTCCTTGCTCTGGGATTGAGGTAGTCTCAAACTCATCTCTCACTCTCTTCCCCTCCTCTCTGTTCCCCAACACACTCACTCGCTCGCTCGCCGACACGCTCCCTGCAGAGTGCACGAGCAGCACCCTCAGGATACACGACTGGGGTTGGTCCTCTCATAGACGTCGAGGGGAAAGCCTGCCGAGCTAGCGGCTCTGTTCAACCCTCAGGAAGTTCCGCAGCAGGTCTCCTCCCTGCCGGATTCCTAGGGTGCCACTTATATCACAGTCCCTCGCTTGTTGCCCCGTGGAGTTGTCCCAGTGGCGGTCCTGGCCACCGGGCTGCCCTCTGCCCCCTGCTCCCCTGCTCCGGCCTACACTGTATGAACCTCATGGGGGAGCAGAGCCTAGGCCCAGAGGTGGAGTCGGTCCGTCTGCTTCTCTCTCCTCTGACACCAGGCAGAGGTGTCTCCCTGTGCTTGTTCAAGGGCCACCACTCTGGGCCCCCCAGTTTGGGAGCAGCATAGGGTTTTCCCAGCTGTCTAGCTGTACACTCCTGGGCCCGGCCCCTACTGCTAGGCTACGTGCTCAGTGCAGCAGGAGCTGAGTGGGGAAGGGGCAGGGACTGGACGGCTGCCGGGCCTGCCAGCCGACTTGGAAATGACTAAGCGTGCTCCTCTTCTCTTCCTGATTCTATCCTTTGGTGTCCTGCTAGCCTCGTCCACTCTTGTCACTTAGCCACGTGATCCACCTGGTCCCCCTTCCCAGAATGATGAGTCTTTTGAAAAGGAGATTTGAGGGCAACACCTTTTTGCTGGAGGAGTGATTCTGGCGGTGAGATTCCAGGCCCCGGCAGGAGATGATATCTGCAGATTGCTGGTACCAGAGTGCCCATGTCTGTGCCTGAGTTCAGAGGGCAGCTGTCTGCACCCTGCACCCCCACCAGTGACGCCCTGTCTCTCTCTCCTCAGATGTGACTCCTGCGAGCCATGGCTGACACCATCTTTGGCAGTGGCAATGACCAGTGGGTCTGTCCCAACGATCGGCAGCTTGCCCTACGAGCCAAGTGAGTATGCCCTAGGCCCTGCCAGGACCTCCCTTCCCGGGCTGTCCCTGTTTCCCTCTGTTCTTGGACAAGACCCATATGCTCAGGGACCCCTGAGAAGTTTGGAGAGAGGCTCCTGTGAATGCGCCCGGCACTCCAGGCCCGAGCTGGGGCTTCGCGGCTGGCTTCTCACTTAGCCACTATGCGGAATTGGTCTCCATTTCTCAGACGGGGTAGGGGAGGCTGTGCACCCTTGTTTGTGTCACTTAGTGAGTGAGTGGCAGGGCCGGGGCCTCACTTGGGTCTGCCCAACTCCCAAGCTTCGTTCTTCCCGGTGTGACAGGCTCAGGGGGCCAGACCACCTCGTCTGCCTTCTCTCATCTGCCTCCAAGCCCCAAGTCCGCAGGCCCTTTAGGCGGGGCACCTTTGACCTCAGGATGCCCACTTCAGCGTGAAGTGGCTGGCACCGTCAGGACAGAGCCGAGAAGCGCCGAAAGGGGAAAGAACTGCCCCGGGTGGAAACACGCAGCCAGCCCCCAATTCTCCTAGGTCTCTTCTGTGCTACCCAGGGCTTCTCTGGTCCTCGGTACTAGTCTGCCACCTTTGAGGTCCCCGTTCTCCTGTATCTTCCACCTGGTGACCCCTCAGCTCTGGTTAGGTCTGGCCGTCTCCACCCACTGCCCACTGTGGCTGGGGATGGGAAGGGGGGCTCTCAGATGCCCCTCCTGCTGGCCAGTCCCCTCCCACCCCTCCAAGGGGTTGGGGGTCCCTGGAGTCTGCTGAGTCCAACAGTGCCCCTTCATCCATCAAGCTGTGCCGGTTACTGGAGCCAACATTTCCCGAAAGGGACTAAGTTCAAGGAATTTACAATGAGATGTTTTAGGCCTGCAGGGGACAGAGCTGAAACATCAAAGGGGGATAGGAAAATTAATCTGAAACGCCCAGAGGAGTGGAGCCATGCATGATTTGCAGGAATCCTCGCACCACGCTTAGCTTGTCCCCTCTGCCCGATGGCTTGCTCCTCCAGCCCCCACCAGCCCCAGCCGGGGAGGGACCAGAGATGAAATCAGTCCGTCTGCCTCTCTGTCCTCTGACACCAGGCAGAGGCGTCTCCCTGCACTTGTACAAGGGTCTGGCAGGACCACCGAGCCCGCTAGTGCTCCCTTCGGTCCGCTCTGACCTTGTCTGTTGCTCTGCAGCAGCCAGAAGTTCTTGTAGCTCTTTTTAGAAGAGCGGGTGCTTTTATCTCCTTCCCCGGGCCGTACGCCCTGCAAGGCCTCTGCTCCGTAAAGCAGAGTACCTCCAACTCCTGGCTGCAGGGAGCTGTGCCCCTGGGCCCTTCGGGAAGCCTGGAGATCTTCCTGTCCCAGCTACATCTCGGGGCTCCCCGAACCCCGGCCACCAGCCATCAGATGTTTCCAAAGCCCTACTATGTGCCAGGTTGTCCAGCAGCAGGCAGGACCCACACAGGCCCCTTCTTACAGCACAGAGGGAGAGAGAGAAGTGAACATTATGCAAATATTACCCGCGCACAGCTGCTCGGATGGTGGTAACAGGCCAGGGCCCTCGCTTAGACTGAGCACCACGAGAGGTTTCCTGACAGGGTGATGGGAATGTGGGAGAGGAGCATCCAGGCAGAGGAGCAGCATGTGCGAAGGTCCTGAGGCAGGAGGAGCATGGCAAGTGGAGGGCCTGACGTGAGGCCAGTGTGGCTTGAAAGCAGAGAGTAAGAGGATGCATGGCATGGGAGGAAGACGGGGAGGTGGGCAGGGGCCGGACAGAGCAGGACCTGGTCCTTCAGAGACTCACATTCTGGAGAGGGAGACGGGGAGTGCACGTGGCCTCGTAATGACATATGCTCAGGTCTTACAGAAACTCCGAGAATCGGCTTTTGACTTGTTTTGGAGGAGATCAAGGAGAAGCCTTCTGTGAAGGTCACGTCTAAACAAAGTCTTAAAGGAGTAGGGGACCAGCAGGTAGTGTGGTGGTTAAGGCACTGGACTCTCATATAGCTGAGAGTGGTTCGAATCCCAAACCCAGTGGCTTGAAAATCAGGCCAACTGTGTGTGCACGCCCAACATATCCCAAGAGGAGAAGGGATTGCAGCATGGCCATCCCCTTTGGGGATTGCATCCAATGACAAAAACATAAAAGAAAGGAGTAGGTGTGAGCAGGTATAAGAGAGTTTAGGGATAGGCACAGGTGTCCCAGGTGGAGGGTCTGGCATGAGCAGAGGCCTGGAGGTGGCCCACTCCCCTAGAACACGCTCTCCTAGAGCACAGGGAACTGGGAGCAGCAGCTGAGAGCAGGCGAGCGGAGGGCGAGGTGCCGTCCAGGGACCTGCAGATGGTGCCATGTCTCGGGTGCGGGGTGCCCTGGGGCTGAGAGCTCTTTCTGTCTCGCTGCCTGGGCTGTGGAGAGGGGACCCTGCAGGGCAGCCTTATCCTTAGGGACAGCCATGACTGTAAGTGGGAGTTAGGGCCTGACCCGGCCACAAGGTCCAAGGAGGACATAAATTGTTGGGGCTTGGTGGGTGATCGGGGGAGGCAGGCAAGCTGGCGTGGAGGGGACCCTGGGGAAGCCTGGAATATCCTCCTAGGCAGAGCGGTCACAGCTGCTGGACGCGACCTCCTCCTGCCAGGTGGGGCCTCTGGGTCAGTCTCACAGCCCACCTTCAGGGCCCACCCTGCCTGCCTTTAACTGTCTAGCGGCTCTCCACACCCGTCCTCCTCTGGGAGGCAGGGAGGCAGGGAGGCCTGCCTTCAGGGTGACTGAGGCCCAGGGATGTCCACGCCCTGGGCTGGTGCTGGGCCCAAAGCAAGCTTGGCGGGAAGTTGCTGGTGCTGCTGTCGCTGCTGCTGTGCCCTCCCTTCTGTTCCTGGACTTTTCCTTTCCCCTGTTAGCTGGGGACGAGTGATGAGGGATCCCCTGAGCATGGAGGCCCTGGTTTGCAATGTACTTAGATAGGGCAAAGCAGTGGGAAAGGGTGGTGGGAACATTGTTTTCTGGGCCTGAAACCCCAGAGTCTGTCCAGCTCACAGAGGAAAGGCTGGGGCGGGCAGCTCCAAGGACTGTCTCTTCTAGCCTTCCCACTGCTCCATTCTTGCCTTCCCTATTTCCATGAGAACTTAGAAAAGGGTTGGTCTAGAGCAATGCCCTTTTTTACATTGGAGAAATGAGCAATCGGGGGTGGGGGGGGCAGCAGGTGGTGTGGTAGTTAAGGGCACTGGATTCTCAATCATAGTTCGAGTCCCAGACCTGGCAGCTTGCTTTTTCACTTTCCCTCTCTCTCTCTCTCTCACTCTGTCCCTTTCTAGTCAAATT